TCAAATTTTCTTTGATTATTTTTCCCAATAATTTTCACAATTCAAATAAAGCATAGAAGAATATGTCTATATTATAATTTGTTTGCACTACATCCAATATTAACATGAGATTATGCTTGCCTCAATTTCTTAAAGTTTAAGATATAAACAATTGATTTTACGGATTTTTTTTTTACTAGTACCTTATAGATATTTTATTCTTGCAAATGATTAGACTGTTAATTTTTTCCCAATAAAATTATAAAAATGCTCTTAAATATGCTATTTTTGAATTGATAGTAGTTTGAAAATTTTACTAGATAAAATTAATAACTTAACTCTATTGAAACTATAAGATCTGTAGCTTATCATTAAAAAAATTAATGACGAAATTCAACTTTTTATATCCAAAAAAATCATTTTAGTATCAAAAGTTTGTATTTGATATATTAACAGCGTATAATGCTATCACTTAATCATAAAAGGTCGCTTTATACATGTGCAAAGATAAAAGTTTAAAAATATTTCAAAATAAAATTTTTTAAGATTATGATTATTAATTTTTTTTTTAAATTTCTAACTTTTAAGTTATTTATTAATGAGACTATACATGACAATTTCATGTACAATTCATAAGGAATACAATAATAAAGTAAAACATATTTTCTTAACTGTTTGAGAGGTTTATTAAAAAAATACTCAAGGGAATATTGGCAAAAAAAAAAAACTAATGAGCATTTTAGTCATTAAATATTTAGACAATAATTTTTTTATTAATAATTAATTATCATATATTTCATATCCAATAAACAACTTAAATGCTACTTTAACTGGTGCTTATAGGCCTTGAAAAGCTAACCTACTTAAAAAACATTAGCAATTTTAGCATATATGCAATGAAATTATTGAGTTTTGAATTTATAATTAAGGATCTAAAGGGAAGGATGAATTGATTTCCAAACTAATCAAATATTAATAATTAATGAATTTTGTTAACAGATATCTTAAAAACACTTTTTGATGTGCTTAATTATAGTTAAATTTTAATATTAAGTATAAGGATTAATAATTAATATGAGTATTTATGATGTATTGGGTGAAAATATCACTTATTATATTTAGTAACTTTGACAGGTTATAACAATAGAAATATTAAAATGACATAATATTTTAACGAACTCTTAAATTATTGAATAAGATTTAAATAAATTTTTATTTTTTATTACCTTTAATTAAATTATTATATTTTTTATTTTGAATTAAATAAGTTTTTATTGCTAACGCTTTGTTAATTATTGTTAGTAAATATAATTTAGATATTTTATACTATGTGGTATCGATGTGACATAATAACATGATTATATGATATTTTTACATTTCACATTAATCTTATATATATAAAATGACAAAATAAAATTTTAAAAATAGTTAATTAATCATTAATTATAAAAACTTACTTATTTCAAAATAAAAATATAAAAACTTGGCTAGATAATTGAGAAGTTTTTAAAACATTATATCAAAGAAATATTAAAAAATTCTTTTACAGCAGTCCTTAAAAAAGAATTACAATAAATTTACAATTATCTTTTGTTAATAAAAAGACACTTATATTAAACATTTTCTCTTAGGCATTTAAAATTCTATTTTTTAAGTTAAATGATTGACACGAATCCTTAGTAATATTCTTTAAATTATTAACAATTAACTGGCAATATTTTCGAATCAAATTTTTCAAAAAAATGTATGCCCAATACAGTATGAGGATTGTAAGGATGATTTCCAAAATGCCAACAGCTAAACGGTGCGGATTTGCTTGGTATTTAAAACGGTGCGTTTGAGGTGACCCCTTCTGGTCTAAAAGAAACGAAACTGACTCAGGTTCCGATCCCGGTAGCTCCTTCTCAGGTCTCACTGAGTCGAGGGTTTTACTCTAAACCCCCCAACATTTTTTTGAGTCTTTTTCGTTTAGCTCAGCTTCCCGCGCTTAAATTAAAGTTTCTTCTTTAGTTGCTTAACAAAAGGTCAAATCCACTCAAATCCCAGCGTTTCTTGCGATTTAAAAACTTTATTTTTTTGAAGTTAAAAAAACGCTCTCCTTGCAAGGCCCGTTATGGACGTGGAAATGGAGACGTCTCCTAGCTACTTTGACCCTCAAGATGACTCCGCCAGGGAAAAGTTTCGACGTTATGGGTACCGTTTTAATAATGCTATTGTTTTGCTTTAATTTATTTTTATTTACATAAAAATGTTATACATCTTTGTATAGTTACTTGTATCTCTATAACAAGAAATTTTGCATTGTTTCGTTAGGGTTTTATGGGTGCTTTCTTTCGAGTGTTTTTTTTATTCTTATTACTTTCAGTATTGGGAATTGCATTTAACGTTAGAAATTGATGGGGTTCGAGCCTGTTCGATGAAACCCATTTCACAAGTAACGTGTTTTGTTTGTTTTGGTGATGGTTTTGTTCATTGTTAATTGTTAGCACTGGGGTTTTGAGTAGGGCTGATGTGGAAGGGGTTTTGATATTGAGACTTTGGATTGAATTGTTGATACTAAGTAAGGTTTTATTTATTGAGAAGAATGAATGGTTTTAACTTTTATATGTGAATATTATTGATCATTAGAAGACGCAAAAAGAAAAAAAAAGAGGAACAAAAAGGAATGCAAAATGGAAAAGTGAAGATGAATAGAAACTAAAAGGTGATATAAAAGTGGATTCTGTTGGTTAAGGACTTGAGAAGTGGAAATTAAAAACAAAAAGATAAGAAGAGATGACAGGGGGAACTCTGGAAAAAAATGGAGAAAGAGAGAAAAACGAGATATTTGTATTGGCTGTTTTAGGTTGTTCTTTATATTGTTGAATTTGGGTTCTTTCAGTTAAATCTTACTTTGTGTAGATTATTTAATATGGACTAGCTGCAGGAAAAGAAACTCAGGTTCAAGCATATCTCCACGGCAAGAAAGTGGGGTTTCAAAGTTCAGTGAAGCTAAGTTGTTGTATGAGGGACCGATTATCCACAGCCCAACTAATGCTGCACTTCTTCTTGAAAACATCAAACAAGAGGCTGAGAGCTTTGATACTGATTATTTTGAAGGAACACCTGCAACGACACAATCAGCTTCTAAGAGGAGGCCATTACATGATGGTCATCGAATTGCAGAGACTGATGGTGGTGTTGATTCAATTCGCAGATTAGGAAGTCATGCATTAAAAGCTTGCAAGATTGAGGAGGATTTATTGGCTGATAATGGAGACACGACCTTTGCTTTGTTTGCATCTCTACTTGATTCCGCTCTTCAAGGTGCTTGAAGTACTATCACCTAAATTAAGTGCAACAACTCAAAGTTTAAACTGTTTAACTATTTTTTTAAGTGAACATAATATTTACTATGACTATAGTTCCAGTTCTCAGGATTTGTTTGGGATCCTTGATTCATTTCAGCTCTTTTAATTTCTGGGAGTTAGGAGACTGATATTTGCATAAAATTAGGCTTGAATGTGTTAGACTATGCAAGACCAAGGAAGGTCATTACAGTATGCATGTGTATGATTAAAGTTTTACCTTGAGTTTTTGTATATCAAGTTCATTAAATATTGCAGTCTAAGAAATATAATGCTAGTAAGTGGAGAAATATGCAAACTCATGAAAACAGAATTAAATTACTGGTTCGTGATGCGTGTACTGTTAAGTGTATCATATCATTGACTGATTGATCATAATGTTTATATTTCTATCTTGGAGCACCAATATTTGGTTGCAATCATAAACAAAAAAGTGGGTAGTAGCCTGGTGGTGTGGGTATTATGATTATCTATAAATTGCCCTGTAATTTAGAATTACATTGTTGTTTCTTGTAGACTCATTGATATGGCATCTCCATTCATGTTATGTATGTTCACATAGTCAATTTTCATATTTTCCAGGGCTAATCCCGATTCCGGATCTGATTTTACAATTTGAGAGATCATGCCGGAATGTTTCAGAGTCAATTAGGTGCGTTGCATACCATCAAGTATAATTATAAGTTGGCGTAGGTGTATCTTGCAATGCAAACAGACACGCATGCATGAAATACCATGGATATGCTTATAATTACAAATTTCCTACCGTTTGCTCTTCTTTCTATATTGAGCTTACATCTTGATTCTGACTATTTTAGTATGCCATATCCCCTGTTCCTCTTTTTTTATGTTCTTCCCACCCTCTCTTTCCTTGAAAGAAAGAAGATCCGATGGCATTCCATTTAACGTGCTTTTGTTTATCCATAATGATTTATAGATTTTTTTTTTGAAAATACTAATGATTTATAGATAGATAATACTTTAAGTCTGTCTTATATGAGAGTAGGGATGCCAAAGTGGGCATTATCATTTTTAACTTAAGCATTACGTAATAGAGACTGGTGTTTTTGAAGTTTTTCAAATGCTGAGGCACTACTCATGTATTTTCTTTGTCAAAGTACCTATGTAAATTAGGTAAAATCAGTTTCTTTGGTGGCCTTTTAACTCCATCATTATGTGCTGCTTGCCCAGATATGGATCCAACATACGCCATCGGGTTGTAGAGGACAAATTGATGAGACAGAAGGCTCAGCTCCTGCTTGACGAGGCTGCTACGTGGTCTCTCCTGTGGTACCTTTATGGCAAAGGAAATAAGTCTTTAGCCTTTGATAAATTTTGGCGACAATTGATTTCTTAGAAAAAAGATTGTTTTAGTTACTAAGGTTTTTTCAAAGTCATCCTGCTGCTTGTTTCTCAAATCACACTGTTCTTAGTGTGCGCATTATATTTTGCCACAGTTGTTTTTCTTTGACTTTTACTGTCTGCAAACTTAATCCTTGAGGTTTGGATTTGTTGATGACAGTTTCTGTTCTCCTTGCAGTGACCGATGAACCCCCTGAAGAGCTCATTCTGGTATATTTTTCTTTTCAATATTTTGTCCTTAGAACTTAGTCTATTTGCCCTACTAAATGTTGCATTTCCTTTTGACTACCTTCTAATTCAAGTTAATGGTTTGCTCTTATTTAAATCCATCGACTTACAACAGTCTCCTTCAACATCGCATATAGAGGCTTGCCGGTTTGTTGTGAATGATCACACAGCACAATTGTGCCTCCGTATTGTTCAGTGGCTAGAAGGATTGGCCTCTAAAGCCCTTGATCTGGAAAGCAAGGTGATTAGTTTTATTTATTGCTAGTATAGATTATGTTGACTAGTTCATCATTGTTCTTATTTATTTATTGTGCTTTTGTCACAGTGGATGTTGGAAGAAGCATTGCATTCATTGTCTTGAATAGTGATAAGGATAATCTTTCAGTTTTCACTATCCCTGCCTCCCTTCTCTACTCATGTTTTCATTTTATCTCTTTTATGTGACATGCTTGATTGGTTACCTGATTTCTGAGAAGGTTTCATGTGTCATAAGCAATACGTGGGTTTGGACAAGGTTTGGTTTTACTCCATGAACTGGAGCTAGAAACAAACTGGAATGTTTGGAAGTCTATAACTGTGGGGGTTGTCAAGGCTATGAACATTGATATTGTAGGTTGTGCTAAGCAGCATTCTTGTTTTATTATTATTGATTCTGTAGATTAGCAAAAGCTTTCATGTAGCTTATGGGATTATTGTGGTAACACAAGTTGTTTGAAAGATCGTACTTTTAGCCTCCATGGAAGGCATCATTGATGCTGGATAGCTCGTATATTACCACCCAGAACTCTGAGCTTTGCTAAATTGGCATCTCCCATGAAGGAATGCACCTTTCCGATGTCCTATTTTATAACCCAGCCTCATTTCTTCCCATGCAGTTCCCTTCTCTCTCTGTCTCTCTTTTTTTTTCTCCTTGTAGTTCAATATGTGTAGCTGGTTTATTGATACAGGCACATCAAGAATTCTATTTTATTTAGTATTTTCATTAGC